ACTAATCAAGGCACATGTAGTTAGATCCTAAATTAAACAACATATTGTGGCTTTCTCTTTCGGCTAAAGTAACATATTAACTTGATTACTATTACGGGAGTGTTAAAAGCAAATATAGTGGTAATTTGTTAAATTAGGCATTTTTTGTCTTAAAATGCATAGTGCTCGACAGAAATTGTTATTTGATTGTGTGGCAAACATAAAAACTTTCACATTGATAGCAGTACGCAGACTTTAAGAAAATTGGCATTCAGGTAGTAAATAGGTACTTTTTGTTCTAAATGAAATATTTGTGATCGTTAATGATTACATTGTCACATTGGTAAAGGACCTCCGTGACCGAGTGGTTTGTACGCCGGGTTTCATGGTGTCGTCGACTCGAGAGGTCCCGGGTTCGAATCCCAGTGGGGGCAGATGTTTGTGTGATGAATACGAGCATTTGTACTCCAGTCATGGATGTTTAATATATATTTCTATATAAATATATTTATATTTGTATAGTATATGTATTCTATCCGTTACCGTAGCATCCCATAACACAAGCCTTACAGTGCTTACTTTGGGGCTAGGCTAATTGGTGTGAAATAAGTGTTGGAAATATTTATTTTTATTTATTCTTATAAAAAAGAACGCTACTAAGTTATCTGTTCAAAAGATTTGATGTACTATTGAAAAAATTGGATATTTGACAAGTTTTATAAAACGATCTCACTTTGCTTACTAATGATTATGGAGTCCATTAAAAAAGTGGCTTCATCATTCTGTTGTGTATATTAGTAAAAAACTAAATTGAAAATTCCATTTTCAATTTGAAGTTTACTAGCGTGTGACGTAATTTTTAGTCCTACCCAGGCGTTTTCGGTCGCGTGACTATAGAACAAAAGAAAACATTTCTATTTTCATTTAAACGATTCTTTAGAAAAGTTATAAATTATTTGTTCTCTCAGAATTGTAGTAAAATTGCTGCTAAAATTCTTATTTAAGTACAGATTCCAACACTTCGTACTTCGGTCAAATAGCCTATTGCGCTTAAACAAACTTCAAATAAATGTTCTCAAAAAAAAAAGATCTCCGTGTCCACAGCCTACCTACTAAGCCAGTTATAAGTGTGAAAACATTGGAATTCCTCTGGTTATATCATCGGCGCCTGCGGTCGCGCGTACGTTGAGTGTAGGGTTGCTAACCTTACTACGTAAAATTGTGTCCTACTAGATTAGGAGATCAAATACTATATTTCTAAAAAAATATATAGTATATTTATATATCTATATCTGCTATATTTTGTTTAAAGCAGACATTTGACAGTAAAAGCTTTCTTAAAAATAATTTTTTTTTTTTTTTTTTTTTTTAGTAAAGTTTTCTTTAGATTTCAACATCTAGCAGTTAAATGCTTAAAAATAAATAAAATCATAAAAAAATTATTATTAAGGCATAGAGCAGAAAAATGGATGTACCATTTAAAAATAAAGTAAATATTTAAAACCACAATATATTGTTCCATTTTTTTGCCATCTACTATATTTTTAGATGTAACAGCATCGAAAATACTATCTTAATATTTATAAATTACGCGTCACGCTGTTTGTTTGGGATGGACTCCTAATCTACTTACCCGATTTTAATTAAATTTGCATACCGTGTGCAGTTTAATTTAACTTGAAACATAGGATAGCTTACATCTCAATTTATAGTCGCAATATAATTTTATTGAAAATTATTACTTTTGGGCGGTACGAAGTTCGCCGCGAAACAGCTAGTATTTTAAAGAAAAAAAGTTGGCAACCCTAGTTGAGTGTGATGGTAAACCCGTTCGGTTCGGCCGGTGCATGTCGCGAGGTTATTCGCCTCCGACAGGGAGAGTGCCCCAGATGCGGCCGCATGTGACCCGACTGACCGAAATCGAACGTGATCTACTCGCAATCTGTGGTCTAGCTATTGTTATACCTAATAAGAGTAAAGGCATGAAGTAAATACCTCCCTCAGGTTTCAATGGTCGGTAGAGCAGAGACCGCCTCGAGAGCCGGAGATGCCCTCCGTCTAAAAAGCCTTTAACCCCTTATATCGCGTAGACGAGATGCCCTCCGTCTAAAAAGCCTTTAACCCCTTATATCGCGTAGACGAGATGCCCTCCGTCTAAAAAGCCTTTAACCCCTTATATCGCGTAGACGAGATGCCCTCCGTCTAAAAAGAATTTAACCCCTTATATCGCGTAGACGAGATGCCCTCCGTCTAAAAAGCCTTTAACCCCTTATATCGCGTAGACGAGATTCCCTCCGACTAAAAAGCCTTTAACCCCTTATATCGCGTAGACGAGATGCCCTTCGTCAAAAAAGCCTTTAACCCCTTATATAAGCCCTTATTTGCGTACCAAGCCATATTTGATATCTTTTTTCGAAATATGTTATTGCTTGAATCTTGACCTCAAGTAAGTCCGGAATGACGTCGACCATGGGATGATTAGCATTGCTCATTCGCTATTTTATGAGATTCGGGTTATTTAAACTCGGGAACTCAAACGAAGGTTGGGATTTTTTCCTTTCTTGGTAATGCGTATTATCAATGTGAAAGCAAATCGCTTTGCCAGTATGGTAACTCATGTTGCATCTAGCCTCCCAATTGAATGCGTGGGAGCTTATGGAGTTCTATGTGTACTCTCCAAATTACAGCCTGTAGAAAACAGATTAGCGAGAAGTTTTGCAGCAGTAAACCAGGCTCTTGGGCTTAATTCAGGTAGCTTTTTGTCACCAACGGGCGTTCTGGCTGTGCGATGATGATTATAAACTTAGCATTAGAAATGGCTATACAAAGCCATTTTGGAATTTTGAAATCTTGTTTAGATTTTGAACGAGAAATATGATTATTATGATGTCATTAGGTAGATAACGACCTCCTTTTACAAAATAAGCTCCTTAATTCGTTCATTTAATACAAAGGTCAACAAGAAGTGGGTTTCTAAAAAAATGACAACTAAACCTTATTATGCAGATAGGTTACGTCATCGTCAAATATTTGTAGTTGTACACACTCTTCGGACTATAAAAAAATAGCAATTTTTCCAATTGATTCTCAACATTCGTAGTTAAAATCTAAGCTGAAAATCGTTTGGAGAATTTTGACACTTTTTTACGTGCTGATTTTCGCAGAACATAATTTTAAGAAACTCTTCGGCCCACATCTGAGTTCATTAGTCGAAAACCTACGTCAACATAGCGCATACGTAAGCACTTAATTTTGTTCATTTGAAAAATCTGCACTTAAAACCGGATGTTGCAATTAAGGTTCATAATTCAGAACAAGGCATGGGAATCTTTTAGAAAAAAAAAACACGATTGTTTGACCCTTTGGGTACGGAAACCTAAAAACGAAAATGTTTTTCCGATTTATTTACTATTTCATAGAATTGCAAACATAGTTACTGCCATAATTAGGTTTTGATTAATCTGATGATTTCATATTATTGCGTAATTTAGTAAAGTCAATAAAACCTTTCATAATATCTTATAATCTCTATTAACTATTTTATGTGATAGGTAATATCGTGTAGCCGTTAACACTTCTCGGATTATACCAACATGATTCTTGCCGCTGCGATTCGTGGGATTTTGTAATTGACATTTTCAATTACGATTATTTATCTTATAATAATGGAGCGTTGATGATTTATTTGATTGGCACTTTGCAGAACATATTATATCTAAATTATATTAACGTTCGATCTATATTAATTTATCAGTTTGCCAGCATCTGTTTTTTTGCGTACTCTCACATAGCTGATACCACAATAACGCATCCGATATTATCGGCCGATAAAAACGTGCCTTAAGACCTTAAGTTTGATTTTCGATATGTCATAATCGTCATTTGTTTTTATGCCGTAGAGAAGGACCCGACATGTCGAAGTTCACAATTATAAACACCGATATCAGATTTTGTGTGTACAAGCCCAGACTACCTGTTGAATCTTGTTTGTAAAAATAAACATAATATCGTGATTACAAAATATTAGAGACATGATTTCCCATTAAAGGTTCCCAAAATTGATGAAAACTTCATCGTCATTTATTTTTCTGTTAATTTAAAAAAAAATAAAGAATATAGTTCTCAAAACAGTAACATTCCAAAGCTGAAGAAGACTTATATTTATTTTTCTAAAAAAACGCCGCGTAGTGAGCCTGTTAGATAATTTGCAGCGCCCGACCTCTAACATGACATGACTGTCAATACAAAATGTTATATATCAATCGTTAATTGATATGTAATCATCCATCGTATTTTGACAGCTATTACATATCGCTTAGCGGCTGTATCATAATTATTGTTTTTGGTGGTAAAGCAAGGGGGCCTGCCTTGCCTTAAAACCAGCCCTCTATGGGGGCAAAATATCGTGCATGTGTTCCCTGTCTTCCCCTCCGTCATGTAATGTCAATCTTACTTACTGTAGAAGCAATTAACACTACAGAACTATTATTTGCTTTGATTTCTCTGTGAGGTAGTATATCGATGGGAGTGGAGGAAGTTTATCCTATATTGCACTTCCTTTCAAGCCACAAATACACTGCTTGTGACAAATATCTTAACGATGAGTATATAAAGATATCAGTTTTCATCATAAAGGTCGTAGCAGCAATATCAACTCGGAATGGGATCTTCACCGTACCACCTCGAACCATTCAGTATTCTATGTATAAAACTCCCTACTGCCACGCACACCATTCGGAATCGTAGCGCAATCGCCTCACGAAGAAACACGAGCTTGTCCCTAAGTGATTCCGATTAGTGTACGTTGCAGTAGGGAGTTGGGGAGTTTCATACGAAGAATACTTAACGGCACGAGTCGATACGGTGATGATCCCTTTCAGCAACCACAAATCTACACTGATTTCGTATGGTGCTGGATTAAGGTGTGGGTTCCTGTCCATGAGAACGCCTCCAGCGGTGGGGTCATTAATACTCTGATGATGGTAAATAATTCTTTTTCAACCATTCTTTTTTGTCCACAGGGCGTCCACAGTATATTAGGCGTGACAGCATGTAGCGGACAGTGTGTTACAAAAATAAACCAGTGTTACACGCAGCGACAAGATGGCCGACATCCTCGAGAACGACAGCGCGGTCGACGAAGAAGTCGGCTACGAATACGATACGACGAAAATCCCAGAAATCGTGACCCCTGATGATATGAACGAGTCGGGATACCAAGAAGGCTCTGAAAAGAGTTATGGTGAGAGACGGGATTCTAAGGAGGGATTCGGCGGAGAAGGGGACTCGGATAGTGGAGTCGATGGGGTCAGCAGCGGGTGTAGTACAGCGGATGACTGCCCCGTTGTCTCCATAAACGATGTGGTGGCTTACTACGATGATATCAGGCCGAGGAGGCGACACGCCCCGCAGCTCAATTTCTACAATTTGGACATCGAACGGATGGCTTTGGACGCTGCTGCTCAGGTGAGTACTTAGAGTTTTCAGACCTTTTTAGCGCAGACCTAAAGATCTAAAAAAACGGTTTCGAATTATAAGGCCAATTGATAAAAAAGGCTTGAATTGATTGAGTATGTACATTGGAAACCTGCATTCTGAAATTGTTTTTGAAATAATTTCATATTGGATTGGATAATGAAAAATAGATGTAGGTTTGTGTCCAAATTGTTAATGGTTATTAATGGATTCTTTTGAATAAAAGGTCACGCAAAAGCGATTATTTTATTGTAATATTGATTACCTCACTGCAACATGTTGAGAAAGCTAACTAGATAGTATTTGTACTAAATCTTCAAAACGTATTAGAACGCTGGCGTTAAAATAATAAGTAAATAAATACTGTAAACTTAACGTTTTTTTCTGAAACAAAATTAATGAATAACCATTTATAAAGACTACAGTTACATATTGGTAAAAATGATGACATAATATATGAATACCGCTCCCAAAACTGTATTGTGTAAACCCACACTAGGCGTAAGTGAACGCAAGTAAGTGTAGTGTTTGCAGACACTCCGGAGCCCCGGAGATGAAATAACGTGAATGATTCTTATCCGACGCGTTTACTTCGAGCAATGTTTAATGATACAATAACATATTCACTGGTTTTCTTGACATACATAAAGCCCAAAATTGTCTGCATTCGAAACTTCTAACCACAGAAGTTGTTTCTTTTAGCAAACTCGCACAATGTGTTAGCATTTATTGATGAGTCATCACAACTTTTAACTTTGTGAAGTTTTTTTCTATTTAGCAACACATAGAATATGATCATAAATATGTTATCTCATTACACGTGGCTGTTTCGTAACTGAAAACTACGACTTTTCCTCAAGTAAACAATCTTGAACCATATGCGCAGTACCAAAATTCTAAGCCTATTAAACATGATGAGGTTACTAGCTAACCAGTTTATATTATTTTACCATTTCGGAGTTTCTTTTCTTGCTATCAACTCTTAATGAGGTATCAAATTTATTATTAGTTTCGTTAACAGAGTTGTTAAACTTTCATCATCATCATAATCAGTCGATGGATGTCCGCTGCTAGACATAGGCCCCCTCTAGGGATTTCCAAACACAACGGCCCTGCATTTTGCGTATCCAGTGGGTCCCACTGGTGGGATTATCCTTACAATACAACTTAATAGCAAAGTAACAACCTTGTAACATCAACGTTGAACATAATAGAATGTATTCTCAGCATTTTTATTTCAAGCCATCTTTACTTTTCGGCGGTAGCATTCATGATTCGCGCGATGATAAAAAAACTTATGTAATTAATCTTACGATATCTATAGCTGAACGCGACTTGCGGTTTTAATTCGGCCATAGATAAAAATCGCTTTCTTTAAGAAATATCATAAGAGAATCGTTACGACTGCCTTTACTTCAAGATGAAGATGTTTCTGTTGATAAATTAGCGGCAACGGTAATCATTATATTTTGTTTAAATACATGCTAATTAAAAGTATGAGAGCAGATCATGAAAAATCTGGAGATGTCTCCTACAGAAGACTAGTAAATTATCACTATCTTTTGATGGATGTTGTGATTCTCTAATGGCCATTTTCAATAATAAACCTTTTGTAAAAGGAAATGATAATATGGATGGTAATTTTTGGAAAGATCTAATAGCTCTTACTGGAGTTTGTAAATTAAATTGACCTTAGTGAGTTAGGTTTTAGGACGTCACGGGATATGAAATGAGGTAAGGTAGGCAACACGCAATTGATACTCTGGCATCTCAAGTGATTATAGGCTATGGTGGCCGCTGACCATCAGGTGGGTCACCGCTTGTTGGTCCTTTTTTTACACAGTAAAAGTAAATTAGTTTGGCAGTAGCTTGTGGCTCACTGAGGGTTCAGACTAGAAAAGTTCTTTTTATTTGAAAGAATTTGAATAATCACTAACATTAATTTTGACAGTCAAACTAAAATTATAAATAATAAACTCTGGCGTACCTGCAACAATTCTTCAGTTCCCAATAAAGCAAAACTTGAAGGCGCTCCTTACTATGGAAACTAAATAACGTTTAAATTACAAACATTAGTAAACATATAAACAACAATGATTCGGAAACAAATAAGTGAGTTCATCACAAAGAAGAATTTTAAATACCAACATTTGAAACCAGGAACATTGGTGCAGAATTCATCCTGAATTCCCACTACCATCGCACCAACTTGTCGTCAAACTTTGTTCAACAATTTAGAACTGATTACAAATTAAGCGTAAGTTAAGGCAGACCGTTCGCGATTTTGTATGTGTGTATGAGTGTGTGTGTGTCTTCGTTCGACCACGCTCTCAATAGGCCGCTCTTCTTATTGGAACAAAATGTTACGTAAACGATAAGTCTGCATTACAAAATGTTATTTAATGGCAGTTCTAGCGGTACACCTTTCTCTCAGAATACCATTATGCAGTCTAGCTGCGTTTAAGCACTACTTATACTAATATATGTTTACGTGATTATTCGTGTTTATAGCTAAAGTCTTATTTCAAAAGTGTTGGGGCTTCGCATTTCATAATTAGGTTTCTTTTATCTTTCTATTCATTTCTTCAGTCTTTCTTTCCATATAATTTATGGACTATATTCATACTTGTTATTCCACAAACATATAACAACAAATGCGTCAATATTAGTTATTTCTCTTTCTCAATCAAGTCTAGAAATGCACTACCTACAAAATGGAGTCGGACGACTTGACTGTTCTGTATAATGTAACTTTAGCAATACCTAGTCTTTGTTAGAGTTAGATTGTATAGCGGTTAGGAAGAACTTCGAACATTCTAAAGTCGGCTATATTCTCAATTGTTTCATTCTGAATAACTGTTGTGTCCGTGACTAGGTTTTCGTGAAATTCCATACAAGAGAAAAGAATAAAATAGCACAAAAATGGACTTGGGTGGTAGACGATAATAAATGGATAGATTTTTGTGAGAATTTGTTAAGGATACAAAAGTAAATATAGACGAAATCAAAGACATAAATATAGATCACTGATAATTATTTTTTAGCGCTAGCGATTTTTAGCGCGGTCTACGACGACTTTCGGCATTGCGTTGACTGGAAGAAGGATCAAAAATAATTTTCGTGCTGCTGTCAAGTGGATCTTCACAACGATATCGGATTCAGAGTCAACTATTATTTCCGAGCCTTCTTTTTTGGCAAAAAACATGATAAGTAGACGGACATTAATTGAAATCATCTCAAATATCTTAACCACTTAAATAATTACTATTTTAATAATAATAACAATAGAAACTTTATTCTCCTCACATCATAGACAGCAGACAAATACAACAGCAACTTTAATTTTACAAATGGGAATGTATGGTAAGCTGATGTCTGTTATAGGCTGTGATGCCTGTAATATTCGTCTGTAACTTTCAAATTTGTACACTGGCGTGCCAATCACTGACAGATTCGTGCAATCAAATGTCAGAATTGTAAAATGCCAAGTTACAGTTGATAGTAACATTCGAACGCCTTACAAATTCAATTCGATTTTAGTAAGATAATGTTGTCGATTCCGCCGTGATTATCTAAACCTAAACTTAAAATTGACAACAGTGTATCCTTGTCATTTTCTACAAAGATTAAAAAAGGAGGGACTGATGTTAAATTTAGTTTTACGTTTAGAGAATCACTTCAGAATCGACACCATTGTCTTTAGATTAGTTCAACATATTAGGTTACAATGCTTAGTAATATTAAAAAAAATCGTTTAAATACTCTTTGTTAATCTATAGTCAAGCTCTAGATGGGGAAAAAAGTGGATTTCATTTATGCAAAGCCTCGTATCCATTATATGTGCCAGCCAGTGTAATAGACATTATTTCAGTGATCGGTATCTACCGATAAATAAGTTTGGTGTGCTACACATCATCTTCAGACTAAAAGACATTTATTCTGTTTAGTTGGATCAGTGCGTATATTAGAAGCATGACCTGAAACTATAGGTAACAAAGATGAACTATAACTGAGGAAAGAAATTATTGAATTTTTGTTTGTTATTACTACCAAGTACCGGGCGACGGGAGGCCCCCACCAGATAGACCGACGATCTATTGAAAGTCGCGGAAAGCCGATGGATGCGAGTGGCGCAGGACCGATCGTTGTGGAGATCCTTAAGGAGGCCTAAGCTCAGCAGTGGGCGTCGTACGGCGGATATCATAAAGTCTTACTGCCAGTGTAACCATCTCTAACGGAATGATGAATGAATGGTCAGTGAAATGGCTGGAGTGATGAGCAAAATAATTCTTTTCCGAGTCATGATTGTTTTTATAATAAGCTGTTATACTTACTTTAAGTAGTTCCCATAGTACAAGCTCTGCTTTATCATCATCATAATCAGCTTATAACCGTCCCTACTGCTGGGGCACAGGCCTTCCCTAAGGATGGAATAAGGAGATGGGCGGTGACCCACCACGCGGGTGTAGCGGATTGGTGGATGCTAACGACTGTAGATGCAACCGGGACCAAAGGCTTAACGTGTCTTTTGAAGCACGTTTGAGGTCGAGATAATAAGTTTTTGGTCACCCATCCAATGACCGATGATTGCGAAAGTTGCTTAACTTCCACGATCGCAGGCTAACCACCTCGGTTCTGCATAGTTTGGGATTAAATAATTGTTGGGAGTTGTCTGGAATTTATGTGTTTAATTATTCATTTTCATCTCCAATAAAGGGAGATGCAAGTATTCGTCTCGTGGCCTGCAAAGTTTTAATTCAATTAGTTTGCCTTTCAATGACTTTCGTTTATCATTTATTAATTGAATATTAGGAGCGTTATTTTTATTTTTGAACACAATCATTACATGAAGTTTTTTTCACTGATAATAATAAGAATCTCTTGGATATTATTTGTGATCTTCTGTACAAAGTTTGTTAAATCTTTTTAAGAAGACTGAGTCGAATTTTTTCCCTTGCGGGTACCGACAGCTTGCACCTTGCAAGACCCATAAAGGTTCTTCATCGAACTCCGGAATATCGCAAACTTCATGTCACCTGTACTAAGAGAGCGAATTCGCGCGAGGTCGCCTCGGTCTCACATAATTACTGCCACTTGCCTAGTACTACGTAAAGAGATCATCAATTAACAGGACGCAACCGACAACAGAGCATGATGCCATTTAATGTCCTACTACTTCAGTCATAGGCATTATTTTACCTCGCGATGTCACCTATATTATGTCAACATTACAGAACGACAGTGAAGCCTTATTGTCTACGAATCTATGTACATGGAAAATCGATATTGCGTTGGTGGATGTCTTTTCTCAAGGGCGAGCGAGCGATGTTTATTCTCAAACGATTGTACTCTTTCCGATTCTAATATTTATATTAAAATGGTTGTACAACTTATTTCGGTTAGGCGAGAATGCTTTACCGGTATTAAGCTTATGATGTGTCCTAAAGATTCACGCTTGTGGATCTCAGATTTATGTGACACGTTGAGTTGAAAGGTTGTCTGGAAGAAATCGCTTTTAGCGATAAGACCGCTCATTGAAGCACTATTTTTTTTACAATTGTGTGTTGTGGTGTTTTCAATAAAGTATTGTGTATTGTATTGTTGAGTAAATGAATTGTCACTCAAATATATAGGTCTATAAAGGGATCCATGAAAAATCTCATTTCATCATCATCATCGTCAGCCGATGGACGGCCACTGTTGGACATAGGCTCTAAGGATTTCCGCATACAACGGTCCAACGCGACGGTCAAATTTCATTTATATCATTGTAATTCGCTTCCTCCTAAGTTATTGCCTGGACCTGTTATCTGGAGGTTGCCATGACCTATACAAGTTCTGTTTATTAGGTAGCTAAAACCAATTTCCTCTAAAATTTCACTGTTCGGTGGATGTACTCGTATATACTTCTTTGCCCTTAGCATGAACCAATATCGAATTCGATCTTGATAGCGTCAAATGTCAAGTTGTTTTGTATGGAAGATTTTTCATTCTTGTTACGTCCGTTGTGGCACTGTTTAAATGGCGATTGGTTCGTGCTAAGGATACTTTTTTGCAGTGAAAACTTCTTTAGCGGCGTTGTACACTTCTTTGTAAGGGGGAAAAATGTTAAACTCGCGTCAGGACACGTGGCGTAAGACGAAAACAATAAAATTGGAAAGGTTGTTGACTTTCAATATACTGGACGAAACATAGTAATATTTTATTTTATCATATTATAATAATAAGTCTCTATCTAGGACGTCCAGGTGGCAGCTTTATAGCGAAGAAAATCCATTTTTTTACAATAGAAGTCGCTAGGTGCGCTTTAATGTGATTCATGTAAGTTGATTCTTCTGAGAGATAAACTTTTTAATGTAATATAAATTGTCATGTTTG